CCTCGTTGTTTTCCTGCTCCCTTGACAATTCCGCCTGTCACTATAGCGTTATTTCAATAAACGCAGAAATATTATCCTAATGTGTTGTCTTGGGAATACAATAATAAAAGGCATTTTAAACCAAACGAAAAGGTTTTGGAAAAAACACAATGGTAGTTATTTTGATATTCTCGGAGAGTATAGGCCTAACAGAAATATTTGGTGACTTTCAAGACTGTAAATGTGTTCAGCATTGCCAAACAACTAAACAACCTAAACCAGTGCGAACTTGAAAAACATCCTTGCTACTAATTACTCCAATGGTGGTATATTATTAGGCTATTTTATAACAATCGCCGCAAACAATTCCAAGCGAGATAGATAGACCTTAATATATTGGCTTCAATAGGCTACGGTTTACAACACCTTTATTATCCGGGCCAAATCACATCAACATGACAAATATTCCTTATATAGAATTTTTTCATTCAGTTGGAGGAAAATAATTTTGTTATGTTCAAATAGTTATAGCTTATTTGGCTAGTTATGAATTAATAATCAAATTTCAAATAGATTTCTAAATTTGTAAACACGAAAAGTTGACCATTTCGTTTTGGCATCGTACACAAGATGGAATTGTCTAAACATCTAATTGTCATATTAAAAAACGAAGAAAAATATTATCGCGACAAATATTCAAGGTTGTCAGAATTTAAAATGTTCATAATAAACCTGTATTTAACGATGTATTAGAGAAGATATTAGAGTGTAGCCTTTCAATGAATTATAATCTTATATAAAAATGATAAAAATCAGAACACACACACACCTTTCATATTACCTGTAATATTTACCTGTATGCGATAGATTAATCTCCGTCATATCTGTAATCTTGATCATCTCCAGTATGTTCTCGTGTTCATTATTTTATGACTTTCAAAGCCGATTTAATGCGTAAAGACTTAAGTCAACTGACACATATTCTATTCTTAAACCGGTTCAAATTGTGACACAGTTAATTCTGAAACTGGTTAGATAGTGATTGTCATTGATTGGATAAATCCCTTTACTTTTAATTTTTCTCGAGTCGAACTAAAGGCTAAGAAAACATCATATTTTGCAATCAGAAATATAATAGATGTTTATACAAAAATCAAAGTCATTTTTACAACTTTTAAAATTTAACCTTACTCCCTATTAATTAAATTAAGTGCTAAAATTTTATTTTAAGCTGCATTAGCACATTAATGTCACTTAACTGCAATAACAATGTAAAAATATCGCCAAGATTGCATGCATGTAATTTGTAATCTGTTTAAAAAGTTGCAATATATAAATGCTAATTTAAGAAATACAAATGTTCAAGTAAATAAAATAAAATAGTACCATCTCAGCAATATTGAAAATTCAGTTAATCTTTTAGCATATTTACTTTATATTGTACTTTATGTCGAAGTAAAAAAAAATAGTAGAAATTTGACTGCTTGGTTGTTTTTTTTTTTATTTCGGCAATTACTCAAGTTCAAAAATAATTTGTACATATTCAGTTATCTACCACCTAGCTACTTTCAAAGCGAAGGTTAATGCTCTTAAATTTAGTGATATAATCAAATTAAGTTGTCCTCAAACGACACCGCTTTTTTTACCTCTTAGAAAATTAACATTTTAGTTGTACTCCGGGCTGTTGAGTAAAGCGAAGTTAATGATTGAAAATGACCGTGTAAGCCTTACTTACAATACACCATTTTAATTATATTAATTACTTTTCTAAAACCTATTAACCACGATTCCTAATGGAATTATTTTAATCATTTGTTGAGCATTGAGAAAATTTCATTACTGTTTCGAGTTTTCTGTTTTCTCCTGTTTCTATTGGAAATATGAAAATTAATTTCACTTAATATTGTCAACAAATTTACACTTAATTAATTTCATTTTTAATTTCAAGAAAAGTTCTATATATCCATTATGAAATAAATGAAATATTTAGTTATGGAATTGTCACTTTTATTAATTTGAAATTTGAATCAAAAACGAAATCAAAAGAAAATTTCTTTTATGAAAAATACTCCTTCAGTAAAACAGTAATAAAAATATTTGGTCTCGATTTTAAGGGTGGTTCAAAACAATATTTTTCATTGATTTTGTCGATTACACGACAGTTACCATTTCAAATAGTATGGAAAAATCTTTTCACTTCGTCACAGTTTTTAAAATAAGAATAATTTCAATCTATTCACAGAGTTGAATAGTTTATAATATCTACGTTTCAATTCCATTATTTCCTTTCAATTTTCTAGAAAAGAAATTCTCCATATGAACAATGAAAAACAATTTCATTCTTCTACTTTCGATTTTATATGTTGTGTATTCAATCAAGTATTATATCAATTATGTTCTAGAAATAGAATGTAACAGGCATAAAATATTTAACATATGTCGACCTCAAGTCTAATCATCACTTATTTTTTAAATCTTGAAAATGCACGTGTGCTTGCGCGTGCATAGTACGCCGTGATGCCCGCCCCGCTCTTGTATGACATTGATTTAAATAGAAAGAGAAGAATGCGATGATTTTTTGACAGGGGGACTGGTTGAAGATGTTGAAATTGAAATTATATGGTTATTATTCGGTGTGTGAGATATTAAATATAACGTGTGCACTCTCCAAATGTCCCTTCTCGTCAAAATTACTAAAAATACAAGTTAAGTGCAAGGTTGTGTGTTTAACAATTTCCCCATTAAAGCGCGTGTTAAAGATGCGTAGAAGAAAAAACACAATCTAAGATTTTTTAACAGTTTCATTAAATTAAAGGTGTCAATGGCGATGGAAGGGGATAGAGATCTTTTCTTTATTCTTTCACAAGTCATTTGTTTGGTGTTCAATTGCAAGTACACCGTATTTCACAATAGTGCGCTAGTTGGAGGTGTTTGAGAGGTGGAAGAATAAGCACGAAGGGTGTTGAATTATGTAATATCGGGACAAATAAATCACACGTGGGTCATTCCAAGATTTGTAATGTTTGAACACCTAAAACTTGTTAAATAAGAATAAATTCTTCAACTATTTCTTCTGTTAGCTCTTCAATCTTACACCTCCTTCAACACCATCTCCAGAAATGAGAACAATGTCGTTGAACCCCTCCCTGAGTCCTATTCATCCCCTCCCCACATAAACAGAACTACATCACACATATAATGTCTTGTCTCATAATCTGAAAGCAAAGCGTTAAAATCCGAAACGAAACAATTTTTTACGTGATCCACACATTTCCAAAAAATATTACCTCTTGTATTTGAGCTATTGTATGGAAGGTTAAAATTACGCAACAAATAACTAAAACTCAAAATTTTAGAAACAATTTGTCCAGCCGTTATATTTTTAAAAGGGCGGTTACATTCCAGTGTACATCGTATCTTATCATTAAGATAACTACGGTAAATATTGTCACACGTAGTTGATATTGCTGAATAACCATTTTATTAAACGTTTGATAAAATATCTTTCTCTTTAAACAAAGAGCAATGCTCAATAATGCAATGTTTTAATGCAGTATTTCCATCACTTGAATTATGCTGTCAAATTTTATGGAAGCCAGTTGCTGCAATTACTGCAAATTCTATGGAAGCATTCTGCTGGTAAAACTGTTAAAATTAGCCTTAAAAAAAACTTTTAAAAAGTCTTGAAAATGTACACAAACTTATAGAATATAAAGGAAAACCGCAGAAAACGACAAAATCTACTTTATAACGATTTCTAAGGATAACTTGAATCTTTTATATCTTTGAAGATAAGGGATATATGCGGTTTATGCATTTCAAACAAATTACCACTAAAAGCTATATGAAGTATATTTGTGTAATACAAATGTAATTTATTCGTCTGTCTGTATATATTTAATATACAAGGATATGTTGAATATAAAATAATGCTTTAATTTGTTTTATTCAAATAAATTCCTTCTGATCTCTTAATGCCGTCTTACAATATTTTCAAAATTGCAGACGATTTTAAGACCGTTGAGTAGTTGTCTTTTTTTATTTTATTTATTCAGGTTAAGTCGAATTTTCTATTCGAATTCCAGGTTTGAAAGATCAGGGTCAAACTAAATCCGACTTTTACCTAATTCTGTGGCATTAATGGCCAGAACAATACGAGTGATTAGCATTCATTTCTATGTTTTCAAATATGCTTTTAAGAATTTTTCATGTTCGGATCGGGCATGTTTTTAGGAATATTTACATAGTAGATCAACATCACAACGAAAACAATGTGTAAACCTCATGGCATTTCGTGTCACCTTAGAAACAAAGGCCCCCAATTGTATCGACCAATCAGAGTGCGTCTTACCTTTTAGTGCGGGAAAGGGGGCGTGTTAAAGCTAGGTGGCTGATTGTAAAACAATAACTAGCGATCAAGCGAAACGAAAGTAAAGCAGCCGGGGACAGATATAACGGGTCAGGAATAATCCACTTCACTTCATTAGTTTTGTATGTTGGCTACAGTTCAGCCTGATCCAGCTTATAACTTGTATATTTACTAGTTCTGTGAATAGTCAACTCATATATCTACATTTGTTATATATTAAGCTTAGCTGGGATATAAACCTTAATCTTTATTCGGATATTAATACTCGATATTTTGAAGGTATAGTTTACTGTATATCACTGTGTTTATTTTTCTATTTCGCTTTCAAAAAATTCGATTTCAAGTGGTATTGACTCGGTGTTCAAATAATATTTATATATATCTAGATATTATGATGTATATGACTATGATGTTTAAATATTTTGATGTGAAACCTTGTTATTTTTAATGTTTTATTTGTCAAGGGTTTTGACTCGGTGTTCAAGTAATATCAAAAACTACAGTGATACAATATTAGGGGAAAACTCATATTTAAATTTTCGTTTTTCTACTTTCAGCTTATCGCTCTGAATATTTGGATCCTCCAGCCCCTGACGACTTTAGCCTCACCCTGGATAGTTTTGATACTGACCCTGATTTAAGGATGACTTCCATGGCTTATCCTCCAGTTTCCGCCCATGCCATGCAGCAACACAAGATGAACACCTATGCTGTAAATGGACTTGGTTTATCATCACATCATAATGTAGAGTTATTACATCCTGCTATGGGATCAATGGGAACCATGAGCTCTATGGGATACCAAGGTAAGAAAATGATCTCAATTTTCTCAATATAATTTACGTTAGCAAAATGATTCATACAATCCACGAAACAGATATGACAAAATTTGGTTGATGTAAGAAAAATTAAAAGAAAATTCAAGGCCTATAGGAAGTAACAAAAACACTTTGTTTACCACAAAATTAGATATTTCTACACAAAAATATTATTTGAAATATATATTTATTTGGTTTCTTATTTTATCTAATTTTCACTATTTCTCGACAAAAAGTAAAACAAGAAAACATAGAAATATCATTATATGTTTTTATGTTTAAAAGTAAAACATGATTATTTGCTCTAAAAGTGGGGAAAAAATATCTCGTACGTTCAAATGACAAACTTATTGGAATTATCTCGATTTTTAAGACGATTACACGAAGACTCGAAAATTCCTCAAAAGTTAAAAAGACATGACAACAAGCCGTGGATGACAATTATCTTTTTGTTTTATTCTTCTTCTGTTGATATTTCGGCTAAAATCACATAAAATTTACTTATAATGATACATATTTCATGATAAATATTTCGATGAATATAATTTGTATATAATTTGGTAAATACTTCACATAATTGAAATATCTTTCAATTGAATATTTTAGTTTTTTTTATGCCAATGCAAAAATGTTTCAATATTTTCTAAATTTTTAATATTTTCGAGATTATTTATCTGAATTATTTGATTGAAGATAATAATTTTATTATGATCATTTGAAATATTTTATCAAATTTAACTGTCAGACCATCGCCTTCACTTATCAATATTTCGACCCTGGCGTAGTGGTCATTGAAACATCAATTTCTATGATAAGATTGAAATGCTTAGTAAAGTTGGTATGCATATTAATCCAGTGTGAAAACAAATCACGGTTATTTTGATTGTATTGGATTATTACAGTTTGGTTAGAATTTAAAGTTGAGTTTGTATTTTGAACCCATCTGTCAGTGATATTGTGAGAAGTCTCTAGCTTTATTCACACGTTTTACAGGAAAAATAAACTCCAGTCAATAGGTTAGAGAGAGCCATGTTCAAATTCGCCTTTTCAAAGAGGGCTTTAGACCCTCGTCTTTTCTCATAGTCACGACTTGCATTTCAATCTTAACAACAACTTGAATAGAAAATTGCATTTTTATGAGATTTGCTTGAGTGGAATGGTTGGCGTGAATTGGTATAGTGAAATAGAGGAGAGGAGGTTGATGATTTTGTATTGTTTGTATGACAACCCTACCTTCGGTCAAACCTCAAATACAATACCCCGTCTTACACACCATACAATAGGCAATATAACATAGCGTCCGGCCCTATTCTTTCCATTCTCGGCAGTTTGTTTATCAAAGTTTGTTTTTCTTCCCCCAGAGCTCACTGCATCTCTTTCTTTCCTTGTTTTCAACCACTACATTTTATGCTCGTCCTCCGTTTACGACTATAATGGAAGAACAAACATATAAATTACAATTTAATAGCTGCAATTTGACGAGTCGTCTCATAAAATGCTTCGTTAACTTCCATCACTATTATTCTCTTATATCGATGTGATTTTTAATACCGTTACTCTTTAATTCCGCAATTTCATGATAAAATTCAAAGTCAGCGATACGACGTCAAACACTTCGATTGAAAAAAAATTTGTTTAATCGAAACCAAATATTTCTCTGATATGATTGTTATTCTACATTTTGTAGTGTGTAATTTTTCATCCTTAATATCCAGCAACATCAAAGAATAGTACGGAGCGCGACAATTTTAATAAACAAAAAAAACTTTTTATTTAATTTTCGTTTCATTTAATTTTTCAGGTATGACAAATAACCCAAGAAAACAACGAAGAGAAAGAACCACATTCACCAGAGCTCAACTTGATGTATTAGAATCATTATTCCAGAAAACACGATATCCTGATATTTTCATGAGAGAAGAAGTTGCATTAAAAATCAACCTTCCAGAATCAAGAGTACAGGTAAGGGAGACAATTCTAATGAATTTTTTTAATTTCCGAATTAAAAATTGGAATTACATTCTAGCGACACGAAATTGGAATCAAAATATTTTTTGTCGTGTGTATTAAGTTTTGATTAAAATCTGCCAGAAGTATTTGGGAATATTATGAACTAATGTATTAGGACAATATCAAAACTTTTCAACATTCAATATTTATAGTAAACAAAAATGTAAGAAAAATCCACAATATTTTGTTTGGAGCTATTTGACTAGAATATTGATTTTTAAACTATATTTGATTTCTTATTTCCCGGCCAGTCTTCTCTCCAAATATACAACTATAAGCCGCTTATTAGGGATTAGAGAAATAAGTCTTTAGTTGCTAAGCAACATCATTTGAAACCAATTCCATGGAAGAATTCGATGTTTCTAAATACATTTAAAATAAGATACATTCCCGCTTTTGTTAAAGACAATTAGGAATATTTAAGTTTATAAAAATGTCTCAAATGAATTTTAAAAATTGTAGCAGACATTCTAAGTCAAAATTTGTATTTGGAAAATTGAAGTATGTCTTTTAGCTGTATCTTGAAATAACAAATAACAAACGAAACATTTTCAAACAAATTGAAGCATATCTTGTCGGTGTTCTTTTATTTGTGAATTATTCCCAGTGGCAATAACACGGCTACATTACAATTAATTTTATTCAATCGGCATGTTTCTATTACTTTTATAGAATCGACTTAAGAGCACTTCAGAATTGTTATGCTTAAGGCTTTAAGAAGGGCTAACATAATTAGAATCTTTTTAATTTTCAAAGAAGTTTATTATTTTTAAACAAATCCGCAATGTACATTGATCAATTAGGAACAAATACATCATGAATTTTAATGAAGTTAACAATGATACAAAATGCTTTCGGTATAAATAACAAAGAAAATAATTTTGAATAGTTTTAAAAATTCTAATTTAGATTCAAGTGCCAGAACCTTGTAGAAAATTTATTTCTGAATAATAAAAGAACCTTTTATACAATTCGGTTCCTTTGATAAAAGTCGGCTTCGAAATAAAATGAAAATTTGTTAACTTTCAATAAGAGGAATTGACATATTGTTAATGAAATGAGATTCAATGGTGAAATGCTTCTCCAATTCTTTAAAATTTTATTAAATTTAATGCGATGATAAAGAATAGAAAGTGAAGGGATGAAAATTGCAGCACGAGTCGTAATTAATTTTATTAGTAAAACAAAGTACAGGTGTATTAAACAAATTAATTAAGCAATAATAGAGTTTTAACACCTTTAATTAACATCCAATTCGTTCTATATTTCACCGCAAACTTTTACACTTTCATAAGTGGAGAGCGGTAATGGCCCTAGAAATGACACATATTGTGCCACAAAAAGCCCAAAGTACACAGCTCTTGACAGATTAAGTGTATTGATTTAAGAATTTAACAGCCTTTTCATTAATTGTTCATTTGAAAAAACACCATATAACCCCAAGTTTTCGCCTAAGGCAACAGCATCCAAACACCGTAAAAAGATTGTTTGGGAACAGAAGGCGTTAACACTAACAATATTCTGAATAGAATCATCTCTAAAATATTGTCCACACCATTCTCAAGTTGAATTGACCGGTACTGCTCGATAATGACCAGCGAATAGTTATCACCACTGACATTATTTGTCGAAAGTATTTACAACGTCATATGTCCTTTTTCCTGAAAATCTTAGCAAACATGACGTAATCATTAGAAGTGTATTACGTGAACACAATCTTTTATATTGGAGTAGGGTTAACATCCGGGCTTTATCGTGTCAGAAGAATATGTTTAATCAAGCATTTTGACGTAATATTCGAGCAAACATGGCTTTTCACTGCAGATAAAATAATACACATCTGTTGAATTGATTGAAGAATTAACAGAGTAAAATTCAATATTTTAATTTTCTCTTTCTTTCTTCTATTTAAGGTTTGGTTTAAGAATCGAAGAGCTAAATGCCGACAACAACAAAAAGCAGTTGAACAGAAAAATAAGCAGCAACCCAGCTCACAGAACAGCAGTCCTAATCCACCAACACCAACCTCCCCAAAGAAAGTCAAAGTCAGTCCTCCACCCAGCCCACCTTCACCAGTCAGCTACAAACCCCCAGTAGTCAGTACAACGCCACCTAACGGTATGAACACATCCTCCATCTGGAACCCAGCCTCCATTCCAGGAATGAACGACTTGATGAACTCCAATAGCTGTATGCAGAGATCTGGCTACTCTTTAACAAACGGACAGAGTCACAACTACAACCAAGGTTACAACCATTCCTCATACTACAGTAACATGGATTACTTTGCACCCATGCAGATCCCCGTCATGAACCACAATCAAATGTCCAATGGTATGACCGCCAATACCAATACAGCCAATCAGTACGGTTCTTACAGTTCCATCTCCTCCAATCAAAGTCTACAACGTAACGACTGTCTGGACTACAAAGAATCATCATGGCCAAAATTTCAAGTTCTCTGAAAAACTTAATATGATAAGCACACGATGGTATTAATAAACATTTTAATGGATCAGGAAATGACGTCATTGTGACGTGTGTTGTGAGTTCGAATGAATGGTTTTACCAAGTGAGGATATGGTTATTCTATTTATTAGCAGCATTACGACATTTTGATGACGTCCGAATTATGAGATTATGACCGACTACTGCCATGAACACCTGCAATATGACAAAAACAATTTGAAACCAACTCACGTTTTATTCATTCGGACAATCATGTGAGATGTGAACGAAGACCATAACTACCTTCAGGTGCAATCAGGGATTGGGCTGGCCGGCCTCAAAAATCGGGTTAAAAACAACCTCATAGAGTGCTAGGCCATGTGGATGCATAATAATATTTGAGTGTAGTAGAGAACGAGAGAAGGACTATTCCACTGAGTCGGCTCACTGTATATTTATCACCCAGTCGATGTTTTATTTAATTTTTTGTAAATACTCACTGACTTCAAGTCTCACATGCGGGACTATTGTGTACCACGTGACATTGAACCACTTTGTTGAAGCAAACTATAGAAATGTAATTTTACAAGGCTGTGATACAGGAAGACAAACAGAAACGTCAAATGATATAATAACTACCGATTTTCTGTCAAATGAACATGGCATATTGAACATGCATGACATAATATAACTGTCATTCCATCTTGAACACGCCATGTTTGTATTGCGAAATGCGCGTGCATTATTGATTGATATATAAAAATATTTAAATGAAATAATTTTGTGACTGTTACGTGCATGTTTATTACTCAATAATTTAAGACAACCAACAAGATATCAACAGCGATTTAAATTTTGACATTGTTGGTTATGAAGCAAAAGTCAATTCTTTTAGGCTCTTTGACTAACTGGTTGCATTTGATACTATACAAGAATATATGTATAATTTGAAATGAACAACATGTTATTTGTCCTGTGTGGTTGTTAACTGTTTGTATTGGATAACATTGTAACTCTTGAGTATTTTTCCCTTTTTTGTTTATTATTTCTATTTATAGACTGGTCACGTGGTGTATATCTGTGACGTATATAATTATTTATGTGAAACAGACTATACATACGTGAATTGGTTACTTTGGTTTGAATAATAAAATGTTGTTTATATTTATCAATAATTTTCTGTATTTCCCCTGCCTTACAATTATATGATGAAGAATATAAACGTCTACAGCAAAGGTACTACCCCGTAAGATCTTCACAACCATTTTTAATGGCTAAATGATTAAGATACGGATCACAAAATACAAGCTCTTTAATCAACAAGAAGAATATGAAGCGATCTAAATGATCATCAATATTAATTTGAAACATTAAAAAGGTGGAAAATACACCATTTCCAAACAGTTTATGGCTTCTTGATTTCTGCCGTTACTGGTAGACAAAACTGACGTCTGTACTCCATTTAAATAAAAACGTTTAAAGAAATGTTGAGCAAAAATAAGGATTATGTGTTCGATCAAGATGGTAACACCAAACAGAATATTACTCAGTATCTCATCATTTCATTCCAATTTCCCATGTCCCCATTTCTGAGAAATTGATAAATATTTGTGAGGCTAGCGAGCGAGTAAATCAACATTATTATAAAATCAATTGACATAGGAATAATCCCCGTGATGAATGCAACCACCACGATGGTCGAACGAGAATGACTTTATCAACTCTGAACAGATTGTAACTATTTCAATCATTCTCATTTTCACGATATTTTATGATATTTTCATCTTATCTGATATTCCAACAGAATTGGTTAATTGGCCTATTCCATATTTCAATAAAAACACATTCAGGCCTTTCATTCCACTAAAGCATGTAAAATGTGCGTAGAGAAGTAAATAAGTGAAGAAGCGCCAAATATCCCATATGACCATAAAACACAACATGCTCTTAATTCCAGAATAGCATGTACAAATATTCCCAATGCTAGTCCATAATATGACACTAAAAAGATACAACCTGACACTTAATCTTAGTACAGCATGAAAGATATTTAAAATGCTTGGTTTATATAGCCGATGCCATAAAAAAACCTAATTCATATTTCACTTCGTTGTGGCTTCAACTGTTTGAAGTTTCCAACTTGTTTTTTGATCTGAATATATTTTATATCACAATAAAAACACATACAGGTCCTTAATTTCAGTATAGCATGAATAATACTTCGCTGCTTGGTTTCAATTCACGATGCCAAATCAATTGTTATTTTCACTTCGTTTTGGCTTCAAATATTTGAAAAATGAAAATGAAATGAATGGAGTTTTATGCCATACTTTTCTACACCATGTGGGCAAAGACGGTTCAAATATAAGATACTATAAAATTCAGGGATTTCCTGCGTTATTAACCCAGATATTATTACACAAAATTCAGGGTTTATAGACGTCAGGAATATCTATTGTAAAATTATTCAAATATAAATTAAAGCCAATAACAATTGCACAATTCACAAATCTAGAAAGTGTTACAATATTCATACATTTACCTATATCGTCACTTTATGAAATATGAAATAGAAATATTTAGAAAGATTATATTCAATATTGCATATATACAAAAAGATCATAATCATTCTGTAATAGTTGAATACTTTCTTATACATATATTTTAATATAAACCTTAATATATATCTTATAAAAATATTATCATTCTTGAATATTTGAATAGATTTTATCGCTCTACAACTGATATATTGAGCGCTATTTTAACAGTGGTATTTCTATATCGCTCTACAATTGATGTATTGAGCACTATATTTCAACAGTGGTATTTCTTTATCGCTCTACAATTGATGTAATGAGCACTATATTTCAACAGTGATATATCTATATCGCTCTATAATTGAGGTAATGAGCACTATATTTTAACAGTGGTATTTCTACATCACTCTACAATTATTGATGTAATGAGCACTATATTTTAACAGTAGTATTTCTACATCACTCTACAATTATTAATGTAATGAGCACTATATTTTAACAGTGGTATTTCTATATATCGCTCTACAATTATTCATGTATTGAGCACTATTTTAACAGTGGTATATCTATATCACTCTACAATTGATATATCAAGCACTATTTTAACAGTGAAAATAATTTATTAGAGTATGAATACAATTTTTTATCTATAAATTTATTCGAATACAAACTTTAACCAATATGGAATATAAATTTATGTGTATAATATATACAAAAGCATACAATATGTACAAGTGTGTATAAATATTTTACAAAATATAGGTATATTTATAAGGGAAATAAAGGTATTTTCTAGAAAATGTTTAAACAAATTCAAAATGCGTGAAATGTATGAATCAATTTACAAGAAGTATGAATATTTTTGTAAAATTTGAATAATATTTTCTTCTTCATCAGTCTCAAAATTTTTTAACATATAAATACTCGGTTATAAATAATGAAACTAAAAGCGATATTAGAATATTAGTAATTAAAGAAAGAAATATCAATGCCAACGAGGACTTTTATTTGAATTTCCTAGTGCCACACGTATAGAAACTTCAAGTAAATATCAATGTTATTAACTTTTCAACGGATTGACAATAGACTAAGGACTGTCTTGTCTGTATATCATAATTCGTTCTTGTCGTATACTGGTATTTAGATAGGCATTAACGCTTTAATCCCCAATTGACTACTTTATAATTTACTAGCAGGGGTTAATCCACTGTTTTCACGTATTTTACGATTTGTCAGAAATCATTGTAGCAGATAATATGAAACAACCCATAATCCTTGTATTCAAATTAACTATTCACAAATATTCCGATCGACTCTTACGTGTTATTTTGGCACACCATAGGTCAAAGGTTAAACCGAGATTACATTGAATAGTTATATATTGGAGAAAATGAAGAAAAGAATAACAAAAAGTAGAAAAAACAGATATCAGTGAATATTAGAAAAAAATTTGTATTCAGTGTTGTCAGAAATCTTTATTTTGTCAATTGAAAGACACTTTATATTGAAATATAGAATCACGACTTTCCCTTTTTTTGAAAGATTGAGGCAGTGCGACAGAATGCTTCAAAACAAATACCAGGTGTTAAGGTTTTCCACAAAGATCTGCCTCTTTTCAAAAACGAAAACAAAGTTATTCACTAATAGTACCAAAGCCAGGGATAGCAATTTCAAGAATAGTTTGAACCGGGTTATATTGTATCATCAAAACTCAGAAAAGGGTGTCTGTTGGGTTCACTTATACCATTTCAAATACGAACTTGCTCGTAGTAAATAAATATAGGTTTTTTAACTGTTACTGATGTTTCGTTAATACGTTATTTTGGATTCAGGCTTTTGTTTTGTGGTTCGGATCGTTAGTATTGTTTTATTTATTCAATGAAAATATCATATCTAAGAGATTTCTAAAAGTAAATCAAAGTTAGTTTTCAATTGCCAGTAGTATTGTTTACCAAAATATAAAAATAAATAAAAGAGGGTCAATTGGCTGACATTTTGAACATTAAATAAAATATTCAGTAATTAAATAAACAAAATCCAATATGACCTACAACCCGATCAGTTGTCTCATTTACATAATTTTACCAATAACAGTGTTTGTTTCACACCGAGTATACGTATTTCCTTTCCTTGTTGTAACGAGACTTTTGAGTGGTTGGCTGCTCAGGTATCTATCGCAGGGGATATCAGGTGTTTCAGAGATAGATTGGTTTACCGCATATACTTATCATCATCAATACTACTGTCAATCTAACCCTCGGTTTGATCAGATTCTCACGAGGTGTGCCATGCATACACACGTTCACTCAAAATCAAAGTCTGACGTTATCGTCTCCGTTTCGAGCAGTACAAGGTACAGAGCTGATCGACTGTTATTGGATGATTAGGTGGGCGAGTGTCGACAGCTATTTGATAGCTCTTCTACATCTTTATTTGTATATGAAAATTAGAAGTTTAATTTTATCTTTAAAAAATTCAATGACTAGTGTTAATGGTAAAAAAGTTATTTTTCTAAATTCCTTCATTCAGCTG